CGCGTGTTTGCGCATAAACCATGTGTGCATGCCTGTGTACTTGTCCAACCTCTCACTAGCATTAAAATGTGATGGTTGTTGTTTCTATCTGGTGTTTTTGTAGCCAAAGTGATAATGAAGAGTCATTCCTGTTTGTCTGTGTACCCATACTCAATATAACATAAAATGTAAAGGCCATATTAGATTCACTTCATTTAACATCTTAACCACTAAGAGTTCTGCTTTAGTGTTAGACTGCATCACTCCTGTTGTCCAATGGAAGAATGCATGTGCACTTTTCATTTAATCTCACTTCACATCCTGAGCTCATTTAGAGTACTGCTAATCTCACGTAGGCAGATTTTTGTCTAGCGGCATACAGTAACTGTTCCACATTGCAGCTAATTCTGGCCAGGAGCAGATGGGAAGAGGCCATCTGACCAACAAGTAAAGCGAGTCTTCACATTTTGCTTTTTTTACTACATGATACCACCCTTATGATACCACAGTAATGGACAAGCATGCAATAAAGTGGTAAATCAGTTAAATAATGTCAAAGTGGTTTACGAAGTGAGGTTACATCAAAGAAATTGGTAGAAAATTTGTGCAGACAAGTACCGGATATTTTCTATGTAAGATGCATTCCTGCTAGTCACCGGATGCAGATAGCATGAAGATATCTCATTTTGCACCCCTTGTCAGTCCTGTGCAGTGCTGTTTTTAAACTTGTTTGCATGAAGATATCTTGACATATTCCCACTGGGTTCCTCAGCTACCAGCTGAACAGGTTTCAGCAAATCACATAGAGGGAGGGTTGTTGGACAAAGGAGGCAACCAACCAACATCAGCTACATCCCAAGCCACAGGAGACCCAACCCCAGGCACTGGTGCAGAGACTGGGTAAGAGAATGCCTTATCTTATTCCGAACATGTCAGAACATGGCTTCCTCTACATTCAAATCAGAACATGCCACTTACATGTTGCATTACAGCGGGCAGTCAGGATCCAGTGGATTGAGTCTTTCCTCATCTTCCACTCTAATGGAGATCCTGGAAGCCATTAAGCATCCCACGTGAGAGTCTTTGAATCCTTAATTATTTATTAGTGTTCTATTATGTCACCCATGTGTGATATAAATGGACTTCCTGTGCTTGCAGCACTGGAGTGCAGCTTTTGCCAGAGCAGAGGGGCCTGCCTCCCAACTGCTTTGTCAGTGCTGAGGTTGTACATTGGCTGGTCAGCACTGTGGAGAATGTTGCCACACAAGGCATTGCAGTAGAAATCATGCAGGTAAAATTGAGAACATTGCAAAAGTCATAGTAGTCTGTGTTTGTATTTATAAACTTTACCATCTCGATGATGCTCCTGTAGAAAATGCTGGATGAAGGTCTAATTACGCATGCCTCTGGTGATGCCATGCGAACGTTTGTCTATGGGTTCTACCTCTACCGGATTGTCGAAAAAGACAATGAGAAGGGTAAGAATCGACTTGATTGTCAAGATAACTTAGCTAGGGGTTGCCAAGTTTCTGCAGGTTGCTAGGTTGCTGCTTGCCATTTCTACTGCATCTAACTGTATCAAGGGAGATTCACAGCCAGTGATTTGCAAAGCAACTGGACTTCATTCATTTTCAATGCGAAGTTGCAATATCTGGAGTACACAAGTCTGTGATCCACAGGGATAGCATAGTGATCTCCAACCTCATATAGTTGGATGCCGCAGCAGAGTAGAAACCAACAAGCACAGCGATACTACAAGCTCCAGTAATTTTAACTGATATCAGTGTTCAGGTTGCAGATCCCATGAGCATCACTGTCTGCAATCCCATTGTTAGCATGACTGTGTCTTGGTGCTTCTACCCTTCATGAAAACAGACATCTATTCCCTGTAGGCCCTACGACTCAGCTGCCCCCAGCAGGAGCCAATGTATGGTCTGCCGCAGCTTTGGAGGACTTCGCCCTGTTCCAGAGGAAGTGGTTTGAGGTGGCCTTTGTTATGGAGGAACGTCGGCCCTGTGACTTACCTGCCTTCCTCCTGCCCTGGTTGCCCAGCCGGCCAGCCTCGTATGCAAGTAGGCATAGCTCCTTCAGCCGCAGCTTCGGAGGACGCAGCCAAGCTGCTGCACTGCTAGGTACACACAGCCGGCTCTGATCCCAGAGCAGCCATGCTCCGCACCTTAAGGCAGTATGCCATACTCCCTCCCCTCGAAAGTTCTGGAAGGCTAGTTGGGTGAATGAGTCACGCAAAGTCAAATCATTTCTTCTCATATTACTAAAGCCTTCAGATATCATCTATGCCATCTACTAGTCAACCCAACATCAATGCCCAATTGGAAACTTCTGCAACTCAACTAACATATAAAGACTGACATTGCAACAACATATTCTTCTCAGGAACCACTCAGGATTTAACCACTTCCATCAAGAAATTGTACTCATGCAAATCTAATAATCTGACTTTGTGTGACTCTTCTCCATTCTGGCACTGCATGCTGTTGTAGAAAAGTAGTACACCTTTAGTTCATCCTGATCATTCCCGCAATGCCTAAATCATGTTGATGACACCTTGATTACCTTTCTGACTGATTGATGTAGAGTGTTTGTAATTCTGCAATTATAACAATCCCAATTAGCCATCAATCGGTGTCACAGTACATGCACTCTCCAAATAGCATGGTTACATGTATTCTATCCAATCAGGGCACAAATTGCTTTGCAAGCTGTTCAAATCAGAGCATGGACTGATGCCCCAATACACCAATCAAACCGCTATGTTGGGTGGGCCTCAATGATGCTTTGTACACCAGTAGTGCATGTGGTAAAGTAGTGGCTGTGGTCCAGTAGTGCTGTGGTATGGGTTCTTCCTGCTCTCCTCCATCTGTCCTGTTCCCGCTGGATGAGTGATGTTCCTGCATTGTTCCCAAACCTGAGCAAAGCTTTTCTGCCAATCCATTGCCTTTCTGACTTTGCTTACTGCGCTAGTGCACTCAGCTTTCAGTGTTTTCCTGCCAAAGAAGCTTCATACGTCCTACTTGCCTTTAATACAATGCATGATGGAAAATTGCCCCAGATCTCAGAATCGTTAGTTCATTCTCAGTTTTCATTACAGATGTCATGAGCACTAATTGCCATAAACACTTTTATCGCAATTACTCTCCATTGACCCATTAAAGGTCTTAATAACTCTATGCCTGACCTCTGTCATTTCATCGTTTTGGCAATTTCTACTCTCTCTCTGTCTTTCTTGCTCTGTTTTTGCCCCTCCCCTCTCAGCTGCCACGGTTCCAGAGCAGAAAACAGTCACCTTGGACGTTGATGTGAACAATCGCAGTGATCGGACTGAATGGTGCAGTTGCTATTACCATGGCAACTTCTCCCTCAACGCTGCTTTTGAAATCAAGCTGCACTGGATGGCTGTTACTGCAGCCGTACTCTTTGAAATGGTAAGCATAGGATGAGCAGATTGAGGTGACGAGGTATTTATACTGTCGAGGACTATCAAGCATAGCCAACCAGATGCATGTCGTTAACTATTATCAACTAAGGGCGCAAACATAACATCTAAGGTTGAGACGTAGTCCTAAAGCACTGGACTCCTCTTTTTCAGGTGCAAGGCTGGCACAGAAAGGCAGCATCTTGTGGATTCCTGCTTGTACCTGTATTGGAGGTGCCCTTTGCTTTGTCATCGTACCTATATGGTGACCCTCTCCGTGCTCAATTGTTTATCCCCCTAAATATCCAGTGCCTGCTAAAGGAGAGCTGTGATAACCTGTTTGAGGGTGAGGACAGAAAAAGTAACGGATTGAATGGTGTGATAGTTGTAGAAGTGCATAAATATTCGTGAATACATTGTCTCTGTTTGGTGTTTGCACATTGCTAAGCTAACACTGTGATATCCTAGATTCTAAAATATTAGGTAAATAGTCTGTTTTGGTATTTAATGACTTTTGAATATATTTATGATAGTGCTTTCAAACGATTAATCGTGATTAATCGCATCCAAAATAAAAGTTTTTGTTTGCATAATATGTGTGTGTTCTGTTCTGTGTATATTTATCATGTATATATAAATACACACACATACAGTATATACTTTGAAAATATTTATGTGTATATATTTATATTCATATAATTTATATTATATATAAATATATCTTAACATAAACGTAAAATTTTTCTTAAATATATACATGCATGGGTGTGTATTTATATATACATAATAAATATACACAGTACACAAACATATTCTATGTAAACAAAAACTTTTATTTTGGATGCAATTATTCGTTTGACAGCACTAATTTATGATCAACATTTCTTTCCTTCATCCACCATCTTGGATGGGTTCTTTCATAGAATTTGTCTCAATATCTTAGAACTGCCTTTGTCATTTTATGTTAAGTAAAATTTGATATCCTCCATTACGGCACTGCTGTACTCGTTTAGGGTTTGAGCCAGAGACATACTGGGAAAGAATGCAGTTGTTTCAGGAGGCCATACTCTCCAGGTAAAGAGAGCGTAGAATAATTATTTCTCATTGAGTGCATCTAGTTTATTTCTAGTTAAATCTATTTATCAAGGTGTAATGGTCCTGTGTTTTTCCTCATTAAAACAACTTCCTTTCTTCTTTGAAGATTTGGCTTTGTTCAGGACAAATTCTCAGCATCAGCTTTTAACTTTCCATCAGAGAACAAACCTCAATACATCCATGTAACAGGTACATGCTTTTATGAATTATATAAACTATACTTGCACTACTTTTTTACTTACTTGCTCTATCGTTATCACTATCACTCGGGAATGTTCATCTCTTTATTCAGGTACAGTTTTTCTTCAGCTGCCTTACTCAAAAAGGAAATACTCCAGTGGACAGCGGCGGCGCCGTAACTCTGCTACCTCCACCAATCAAAGCCTGTTTGGTTCTGAGGAGCGAGTGGTGGATACTGTCAGTCACTAATATTTTGCCCAGCCTTTCGTTTTGTTTTCTGTAAAGAAAACAAGGCATGCGGTTGTAAAACGACATGAGGGTTAGGGAAATAATTAAATTATTTACATTTTTCAATAAATATTTCCTTAAAACGTTGGAAAACAATAAATATGCATTTTAAACATTAGGATATATTATAACAGGTAATCAACTGGCAAAAACAGCACGGATGTCGAAACAAAAGGCTAATAACTTGTAGGTTTCGGTTCGGTATCGTTTTTCATTTATCAGTCTAAATCTACCTATTTGGGCTATAAATAACATCAGGGATTTTTCCAGTTCAAACAAACATTTTATATTCCATGATGAAAAGAAAACAGTTCTTATAGGCTATTCCAATTTAATGAAGGTAAATGAGCAGTGCTCTAAAATTAGACTTTTTACGCAATATTTACTAAATGTTTGAAAACACAGTTTATGCATTATTTTTGTAATTTTCAGATTTTTGTGGGGACACCATTGTACAGCACCATCATGTTCGAATTTCAAACAAATATATGCAAACATAAAGCATTGTAATTGCGTTTACTGACCCAACATCTGGTCTTCTGCACCATCAGGTCACAGAACTGAATGAGCCGTTGTCCAACGAAGACCGCAACCTGCTCTCTGTGGCCTACAAGAACGTTGTTGGGGCCCGGCGGTCATCTTGGCGAGTTGTTTCTAGTATAGAGCAGAAGACGGCGGCGGATGGCAACGAGAAGAAATTGGAACTGGTGCGTGTTTACCGAGAGACCATCGAGAAGGAGCTGGAGTCGGTGTGCCAAGACGTTCTCACCCTGCTGGACCAGTACCTCATCAAGAACTGTGACGAAACCCAGCTGGAGAGCAAGGTCTTCTACCTGAAGATGAAGGGCGACTACTACCGGTACCTGGCCGAGGTGGCCACCGGCGAAAAGAGGGCCTCTGCCGTCGAATCGTCCGAAGGCGCCTACAAAGAGGCTTTCGATATTAGCAAGAGCATGCCGGCCACCCATCCCATCCGCCTCGGCCTGGCACTCAACTTTTCCGTCTTCTACTACGAGATCCAAAACGCGCCCGAGCAGGCCTGCCAGCTTGCCAAGGAAGCCTTCGATGATGCCATCGGCCACCTGGACAATCTGAACGAGGACTCCTATAAGGACTCCACGCTCATCATGCAGCTCCTGCGGGACAACCTCACCCTGTGGACCAGCGACCAGCAGGACAGCGAAGGAGGAGATGCCAATAACTGAGAGATCAGCCACTACTAGCTGTAGTAGCACCCGTCTATCCCTTCTACACTGTCTTCTTTGAACCTGTATCTTATTTCTCTCTGTCTGCTCCTTCATTCTCCCTCTCTCTCCTCCATTCCATCTTTCCTGTCTCTTTGTGACACCTCAATGCTCTTCTTTGGTTCCTCAGGGCAGCACTTCAGACCCTTTATTGCTTTCTCACCTCTTTTTATCCCTTTTCCACCAACAGGATGCCGGTACCCAAACTGGAACCGTTCCACTGCAGAAAAGGCGGTTCTGGGATGGAAAAATGCTGTTAGCCTCTAAAATCTGCTTGTTTCAAACCTGGATAATGTCACTTGTCCAAGTTTTCAATACTAATGCAAATGTAAATCCAAACAACGCCCCTTCCATTATAATATATAAAGCATTCAGTTGACGCATGTTGTCATTTATTTTCCTTATACATCACCTGTGATGTACTTTGGATGTTAAAATGCATTGCAATTTGAAAAATTCATAAGTAAAAATAAACTTTAATAAAAATTAAATGATTTAGGAATATCATACATGCAAATTGACTGCTAGCATACAGTAAATATGACAGCATAAATACAATGATTCAAATTGCTTTGGATGTTTGAATGTACTCTTAAAAACATAAATAAATGAAATGATTTTAAAATATATATACACAAATAGTTATGTATTATTTGTGATATAAAGACACTATCTGACATTAATTTGGATCATTTATAGCATATAAAATATTTTATGTTAAATATTTCTCTTTATGGCACTGATTCGGATGATTTTGAATGCTAATATATGTTCTCAAAATTTGTCATAAAATAATAGTAAACAAGTTACATCATTGTTCACCCTTTAAGCAAGTTCTGACACCATTTTGGTGAAAAAGAGGGTATTTATCCACTTGTTTTCTCTGTTTTCCAACCTATTCCTCTCTTCCTGTTCTTGACCTCTTTTTCTGTATACGATTCTCTCCTTTCTCCCCGCAACGAGTCGCTGGTAGCCTGCTGGTCTCCACGTGACATTTACTTAGTGTGTACTTGTAAGGACTCGATCTTCGTAGAAACTCTGTAACACTTATTACAGGATGAGATCTTACACCTTATTACGTTGTTCTTCTTCTTCACTTGTCTTTGGTCTGTACCTCCATCACTGCTTAGATGTGTTTGTCTGTCGTTCCCCCAAGCTCACCTTGTACACCTTGCTAGCCCTGTGAATTGTGTATATCTGCTGATCTCACAACAGTATGCTGTCATCAAAAATGTGAGCGGCACTCTGTTTTGAGACGCGGTGATCAAAAGTCTTGATTAGGATTACATATGCAAGGTTATGTAAGAATGACATTAAAGACATTGCTTACCATGGGAACTCTCAAAATGCAGTCTATTACTGGCACTTTATTGTGGTCTCACAAATGTATTATTAAATTATGCTTTACACTATTTTATTCAGTTTCACACACGGATTATAAATAATGGTTTTCTTGTAGTCAACATGAATCTGCCTTCACAACACAAACACATGATAGTTTGTAGCCATTTTTAGTTTTGGCAAAGTGGTGGCAAATTTGTACAATCTTACATAAACTAAAAGATGTCAGGATGGTACAACTGGCCTGATATAATAAATAAATTTTTTAAAAAGCGTTGATGAGAAAGCCCATGAAGTTTGACATTTTTTATTACTATTTCTTGGACTAGACATTATATTTATATTATTTGTTTGAAAACGTTTGTCATGTGGTCCAACCAACAAGCATAAAAAAACAGTAAATTACATCATAGAGAAGACCACTATAGACCCTCATGTGTGTCAAGAGCAGTAAATCTTTTAAAATAGATAAGTGGACCTTATAAGGTTAGTTCAGGATGTAAAATGTCATGTGGTGTGCCTCCTCAAAATGTAATGAATGAATAATTCATGATATTTTATATTGAAAAATACATTTAATTTAAAAAAATGATTAAGACGTGTCCACTCGCATGTATTCGAGATGTAAGGAAATTTGGTACTTTATTTGATGGTTACACCACATGACATAAAACGGTATAAAAGTTTTTCAGAACTACATGAAGCCAACACATTCATTATTCATATAGCTTGTGTGGCCTACGTGACATCATCTGCGTAGAAAAGTTGTTTCAGGACACTGCTTGTTGATGGAAGATTGCTATTAACCTTTTTTCTCAATATTGTGCACTGATAATAAGACCAAGATGTGCATTAAGAACACAAAAGTCACTTCTGATTAATAATATCTTGGTTCAATTTCTGAAAAACCCATAGTCACCAGCACTTTGGTCAATGTAATCTTGCTCTTTTTGATTATGTAAATGTTTTGGCACAGATGCCTTTAACCGTAGTGATATGCAGGAGTTACATAGTATGATCGAAGCCACTTGAGACGTCAGCAAGCCAGCCGGCCCTCTAGTCTGTCCATTGTGCAGTGTCCTCTGTGGACTCTCTTCAATCCTGCAAAAGCACACCAGTTATCTCTGCTAAATCTACATTGCTCATCTGTTCCATTTTATGCATTACTCTGACTCACCTTATCAATAAACACTTCATCCTGTGTTGTCTCCTTCTGTTTTGCTGACACATACATAAGTCTACACATAAAATACAGTCTCTGCTGTACACAAGATCAAATTGTATCCACACGAATACCCCAGCTAAGTGTATTATCAATAAAGGTACTTATAGGAACATACTTGCTTAATTGATGCTTCATGTATAATTATTGGTGTATGATTGCCTACTAATCTGGTTTCGGAAATCATCTCTTCTGTCTTTGTATTTAAAATAAGATTATTTAAATCATACCACTCTACAAACTTTTACACCTCTGAAAATTATTGACGGATCAGAATTCCCATACAAAGTACTTTTTCATCTGAAAATTTCACAATGAAATTATTTTGATTACAACTCAAACACTCTATTTTGGTATGCAACGTGAAAAGTATAGGAGAACTGACACATCCTTGTTGAACACCTGATAAAGTTCTGATAAAGTGTGGTTGACTTTAACCTGTTGAATCCGATTTGTTAAGAATGATAAATGCCACTTGATTAAAAAGGGATTCACATTCAATGTTTTTCATTTATGAATTAAAAAGTGGGGCTTAATCATATTAAAAGCTGAAATGAAATCCACAAATAATACCAGTGCATATGGTTTTGTATTGTCCAGATGTTTGGTGATAAAATTAATAAACGCATTAACTGCATCTTCTGCACTACAACCCTGCCTATATGCAAACTGTAATTGGTCAAGTACTAGATTAACTTTTGTCTTTAAAATGCACACCATATACTTCTCAAAGCTTTTCAGTACACAGGATGTTAAGGCTAGTGGCATAAGATAATTGTTCTCACTTGAACCTGGTTTGTTTGATAATGGAAACAATAATTGATTTTTCCCAGAGATCAGGTATAGTATGAGAGTCCACAGATTTCTGAAAAATAACACACCATGCAGCACTAAATACTAAATATTAAATAAAAATTAGCATGCCAAATACGCATAAACTTTACTCTTTTTATTATATGTAAATGTGAACTTATGAACTGTCATACCCTTGTCACAAGAGAGTGGTGTTCCAGCAGATGACAAAGGACATAGGCATAGCGTAAACTCTGGTGAGAATATGTAAGTTTCACGAGAACCAAGTTTTGCTTACAGCAAAGGAAAACCAGTCTCCTAGTGGCTTACACTGAAACACTTCTGCGTTTGTCACTTCTGCATTCATCGCCGTGTTTGCCTACGTCATCCTCTGGAATGCGTGTATGACAGTTAGCGTTAAGCTAGAGCTATGCTTTATAAAGTTTTAAATATGGATATTTTTCTTACACAAACACATCGATTCAGAAGGCCTTTATTAACCCCCCAGAGCCATGTAGAGCACTTTTTATAATGGATGGATGCACTTTATTTTGTTTCAAAATCTTGACCACCATTCATTGCTATTATAAAGCTTGGAAGAGCCAGGACATTTAAAAAAAAAAAAACCTGCAGGTGAGCGTCTGATCCAGGTGTCTTCACAGTCGTGTCAGAGAGGGATGCAGTGTGTTGTTCCACTGGCCCTTCAAACATCAGCAAAATGGGTGAAGAATATTTTGGATTCTCTTGGACTCGCAATGAGAACAGAAAAACATCACCATACATATTAACAATCCAGCGGACATCTCAGTGATTGTTATATATTTTCTGGTGGTTCTGGCTGTGGGAATATGGGTAAGTGGTCAGTAATTTCTATCCACCTGTAAAAGATTTTTCTACCATTGACAGACTTGTGAATTGTTAACCTTGCATCAACATATAAATGTAATGTACATATAAATGGCTGTATAAGATCATTCTGAAGACAGAATGATGATGAAAACTGATTTTGCAGAAAGTTAATATATAATATAATATAATAATGCATTTTTGCCAGTTGTTTTGCAAAACAAAAAATGCTAAATTCCTTTAGAAAAACTTATTTTTTTTTTAGATATAATAAAATATAATATAATGCATTTTTTGCATTTAGCATTTTTTAAAATTAATTGTTCCAATCATGTTTTTTTTTATATTTCTTCATATGTAATTAACTATTAATGATACTTCAATCTGTCTGAAACTAAAATAATTTTTTAGAAATTATTTACACATTTTTAGAAATTATTTTACTAAATTATTTACAAATTAGTCTTATTGAGGGTATTGACATTTCTGGGATTTCTTGATAACACCATATTTTTCTACCTGTATTTGCCCATCTGAAATCCATATCTTTTTAAAACCTCTTGAGAAAATTCAAACATATTTAATCGAACAACAAACAAAGCCACTGAACACCAATCCATCAACCAAATGTGATGTGTTATTATTATATGATTATTATGAGATGAGTGTTCCTGTGGCTCAGTGGTAGAGCATTGCGTTAGCAGCGCAAAAGGTCGTGGGTCGAGGGAGCACACATACTGGTAAAAAATGTATAGCCTGAATGCACTGTAAGTCGCTTTGGATAAAAGTGTCTGGTAAATGTATTAATGTGTCTGATCCTGTAGCTATGATGTCATACATAAAGTTACTTACAATTTTGTCTAATATTTAATGTATCTAGAACTGTACATAGGTTGAATTTAATGGCTCGTTCTGTCCAAAGGC